ACTGTAATAGATATATAGATTTTATGAACGTTGTTTTCATGTTAGAATCTGGTGACTTATTTATGTTCGTTCCGGCGATTACATGCTTCTTTTATTTGTATTGATGCTGTGTAGCTTGCTTTTTCCAGCCCGTTCTTGATAGTTTGGCAGCATACTTGAAGTTTGATTTCTGTTTGTTCATATAGAACTTGATGTTTCAAATTGAATTCTAAATGCTTATCTTTTAATGTTTCTACCCTGAATGTGCATTCCGGTTCCTTGGGATGGGAAAAGAAGTGCAACTTGTTTCAATGAAACAATGACCTGCAAGTTTTTGCATATAATATGTGCAAGGAAAGTTAAAATGTGAGTTTTGTTCTTTTTTGTTCAAATGAGAGAGTGTCTGCTAAATCCCAAACCTCACACTAGCATCGAGTGATCAAAATTTTACCTAGGTATATATATTATTGTATTGAATGTGCAGCCCATGGTCATAGATTACATGAATTTCCTAGTTGTGAACTGAGGTTCATGAAGATACTATGTGGAGTCTGGCAGAAATATGCTCTTTTAGGTTTGTAGAACGTGCGAGCACAAAATGTACCACCTGCTGTAGTTTTTATTAATGTGAAGTATGTCAAATGGCATGTCTTTCAAAATGTAGGCTATCTATACATGCAGGGAATGCTTGTGTATTAGTTTGAAGAGAGACAGGTTATGCAGACCATGATCCCTCTCTTTTGACCGAGACTTTAGAAGCTTTTGTTAGAGATGTCTAAGAGAAGCTTCATCGTGGTTGGTTGTGATTCTGTTCGGCATGGATATATGCCTTTGTAATTGGATTAATTTGATTTATGGGTGAAGGGTTTATTCTTGACATCAAGAATCACCCTTTCTCTGGTATGATGAAAATTTTGGCCAGTATTCTGTAGCTCTCTCCTCCGTTTTTTATAAATCATCTTCTATATAGTTATGCAATACTTGTTTAGTTCTTGATCCAGCTTCAAGTAGATACAGCTTCAAGTAGATACATGAAATATATGCCCAAGCAAATGAGCAATGATGGCTCCGCTAGCTTTCTTAGTTAGGTTAGGTTATATTTGACAGAGCAGGGTTACGGGCTGTTTGAATGGGGTTGGAACTTGCATGGACGTATTAAGAACTGTGTTAGAAGTTGACTCACTAGTTATTGGGGCTCATAGAACAGGATGATGACTCTTTCCTGCTGGGCATCATGAAGTGTCTTCGATCTCCTTCAATATGAGTTCAAAATTAGAATTCTCTTGTGCCTATAGAGAAGCTAATGCTAGTACATGATCCTACAGCCCTTGCGGTTACAGAAGTTTGGTAGATTGCTAGCTGCAGTAGCCAAGGAATGAGAACAATCTATTTGAGCCAAGTGCCCTGCGCAATGAACCCCGAAAGTTCAAAATTCGATCTTCTCTTTGCCAAACCCTTTTTCCTCTTGCAAAAAAGCTCCTAGTTCTATATTGAAATATCCAGGGTTAGGGACATTCTCAAAATTGAAGCACTGAACACCAACAAATGCTTCAACTTTCCTCTTTGCTATACTTGGAAAGCAGCTGCCATGCTAAAGGTGAAATAGTATAGTTTGACTGTCGCTTTTTAGAATAACAAAATGTTGTGTTTTTGAAGTGTGACGTGGTTAAGCTTTAATTTTCTGCCTCAACTAGTTGATCAGTTATATTAACTAGTTGACTATTTCTAAATATATATTATCAGTTAAAATATATAATTTTATCCAACTTGTAAATTAAAAAATAGAATCCGATTAAAATTTTAAAAAAATATTGTTAACATGTTAGTAAGTGATTCTAAATAGGAAGCATAAGTTTGTTATAATTAAATGAGAATTTATTCAAAATAAATTATATAAATGATTTAATAAATTTTTTTATGGACCAGTAAAAAGTTTAAGTTTAAGAGAAAATTTAGTTGTATTAAACCAGAATAACAACTTAAAAATAAATAACTTTTGATCTGAATATTAGATTATGCATAAACTTTTACAAGAATTTTTGAAGGTTGATTTTTTATAGTAGTCACTTCATTGCTATACAAACTATCAAATCTTTAAATATAAAAAATCTTATCAATGTTCTCTGGTTTTGATAATTAAAAAAAAAAATTATTTTTATTATTGGTTAATTGATTTCATTAACCATTACAAATTAATAAACTAATTTAGCTAGAAATAATATAATTTGATCATATTTTAGAAACACAATATTCACTAATATTGCTATTTCAAAGTATGATTGGATTAAATTATGTCATTTTATCAAAACTTTTAGCTTCTATGTAAATTCACCAATATTTTTTTATTTTATATGCTAATTTTCTCAATTTATCCCATTATTTTAGTGTCTCAAACTTGCCCTGCTTGACAACCAGAGAGACAGACAACATAACCTCCAATTCCATTCTTTTTTTTTTTTTTTTTTTGATTTACATGGGGTGTCCGGGCCAGCTTACGCGCACCATGACTAATCCCCACGGCTCACTGAACATCCTGCAAGCCCAGTAAGCAGGTAAAGCACTGCGGGGTGACAGGCGTGCATGATGAAGTTCGAACCCAGATACGGAGAAAAGAAACAAGCTCCTCCCACCACTAGACCAAACCTCACTTGCAACCTCCAATTCCATTCTTCGTCGCTCTAGTCGCATGCTCAACCCAACATGCATATTCTAGTGCTGCACCACGGTAGTAGGCAAGTAGCAGTCACGCACTCGAGCCTTCTCTTTTCTCCAGAATGTAAATAGAAAAGGCTCTAATTATATCCTTGTGTTTGCCGAGGCAATCTAAAGACTGCCAACTCGCTGTAAGAGGAAGAAAATCATGGGGTCAGCGAAAAGATAATAGAGAGATTTAAATTTTTACATGCAGTCTCGGTAGCATCATCCCAACAGTAGCTTCCAATCAGATACAAGGAGTGCTACCTTGTGCATACAGGGTACCAATTGGAGGTGCTAGCTAGAGTACAAACAGATTCACGCAGAAAAAAAGGTCAAAACACAAAACCTCCCATGCTGAACTGTGCTGTAGGCTTGTGTTGTACAATAAAGCTTTCATCTAGATCTCAGAGATGACAACCACGAGGAAATTAGTGTTGAAGTGTGTATATATACAGTTTGCTCGTGATTTTTGAATTTCAGGGTGCACGAATCCTACTTTTTGCCGAAGTATGAAAGAAGTGTTGGCTGTTTATCATCAACGCTCTTGAGATTGGCCTTCTTTGCTGGACTTGCCCGTGGTTTGACAATTTCATCTGTCTTCGGCTTTGAATCAACCACCTCCTCACGGTCGCGTTTTGTTTTGCACTTCGTTTCACCCTCATGTGAAAAAGTCTCGAGTTTTGATTTCAAATCATGGTCCACTGTTCTAGCGGAGCATGGAGTTTTTAACATCTCTTCACTTTCATACTCCTCTTTCACACTTTTTGGCTCCAAGTTGAGAGATTTGCCATGTGTACTTTCTTCAGGATTTGATTCTTCTTTAAATTCCTTTCGTGAGAAGAACTTTGAGATAGTACCCTTTTCCTCCATCTTCAAATGTATCTGCAAGACATGCTGAAAAATTATAAATAGTCGATTCGTTGAGTGGAATAACAAATTAGGCATATGTCTAATGAAAACAGCAAGGAAGAGATACACCAATATACCACAGCTCATTGCTAGCACCATAGTTTTATTTTTTTCCATTTTCAAGAGCCAAATAATGAAAAATTACAAAATGTTAAAGAAAAGGTAGACTTTCCGCACCTCTTTAATACACTCTGGTCCATCAAAAGATGGCTTGCCCATCGCAGGTGTCACTGGGTACCATACCTGAAGATTAAAATTGGTGTTAATGAAAGATAATGTGGAACCATTCCTCTACTACCAGATGGTATTCGCATCTTTTCTTAAACGAAGAGAGCTCTTACCAAATCAGAATGTCCATAAGGCTTAAGCACCGTATCAAATTTGGAATTGGAAGAAACACTTAGCCATATGTCAGTTGCTTCCTTGTCACCCAAAATAACAGGCATCCTGTCTGTAATACGAGTAAAAACTTTCAGTACTCAGTAGCTTAACTTCAGCAAAGAATGATAATAACTGAAATGAGACAACCAAAGTATAGAGCTTTTGACAACCACATTCAAGGAAATGATTTCTTCATCATCAACATTGCAAGCATGAAAGCATAATGTAGCTGTAGCCAGACTCCAGTTCCATTTTTTCATTCATGATGCACAACTCATTAGTTGGATGATTTTCATAGTTTTGCAGCTTTTATCATGATATATGAATTGCCTGAGAATTCATAGTCCGACCTTCTCCCTTGCTTCTTGAACCAACCATTGAACATTTCTGGCGGATTTGTTATAGTAAAGAGAGGAAATAAAACAGTCCAAAAAAGAAACTGCAGCTTCCTTCTCTTCCATGCTTATATGATTAGAATTACTGCTCTAATAAATGTTCCCTACGATCTGGAGACAGACAAGTGAACCCTAGCATACCATGCATGCTAATGTAGTTATCGGTCAATATTTGTGAGTGCAGTAACAACTGGAATATATCTCTTTGAACATTCTATTTAGTTCCACACATGTGATTCTTAAATGATAAATGTGCAGGACTTTAGATTTCATAAATCAATTCAGAAGGCGCTGGAACTGTGATTTGGTTCATTTTTTGTCATCATAAGACTACAAAACCTGACATGTAAAAGGCCCTCCTTGTTTATCTAAGATGCAATGTTTAGTGCTATTGAGGAAATAATAAGATAGCATACACGCATCTCATAAAATTGAATCAGACAACAAGAATAAACTAAAACAAGCACCACTCACCATGCAACCATTGTATAGCTGAAGATGCAGCAGTGGTGACTATAGTAAAGGTGTAAAGTATCTCGCCTGCAGTAAAGCATACAGTAACGAGATCATCTTTAACAGTTTATGCATTATTAGGGAACTAATCATAGACTAAAAACATCATCAAACTGACACTAAGAGCTGCATAAGCATCTTATTCTATTCACTGGAAAGTTCTGCTTCAAGTTCCTAGATGTGATGGAAGTTAATAAAAGGATTGACAGACATCTTGTTAAGGAGCTAATTTTTTCAACAAGTCATGTCTCGAAGAAGTATGGAAAGAGCATTCACCTTCAGAGTTTTGCCATGAATCATAAAGAGCAGCAAACACAAGAGGCCGACCATCCTTGAAATGAATGTAGTAGGGCTGCTTTTTTGACCCATCTTTTTTCCACTCATAGAATCTGAAAAACCATTTGAAGCATGAAGTCATTCATAACTAAGCTGAAACTTCTATTTCCAAGTGCATCAGTGAACAAAAATGCACACATATTTACTTGGTATTCAAGTAAGCACAAAAAATGTTGTTGTAGTATGTGGCTCATATGGAGATGCTGGAGTGAAGCGGAGTGCACTGAGAAAATTTCTAATACTTCTAAGATGGCTAGGGTCTACTATAAATACACATTATGCAACCGTAATTTGACAAATCGTGAAATAAAAACTCTTCGCTCTTGTGGATGTAGTCACATTACCAACCCACATTAAACCTGTGTGTTTTTCTTGTTTTCTCTCTTGTGCAATATTCATTATTATTGCTGCAGTTTCACAACAAGTGCAAATTAGGTTAGGGCAACTTTAATGTTAACAAAACCAACCATAGTTTAGAAAGATAACACAATCATAATCAAGTCACATTGTATCACCAGCATTCACAAATGCCTATTCAAAGTCGGAAGATCCGCTACCGCTACGGCATACTCTACTCTACGGTAAAATTCACTCAAAGCAATCCACAAGTAAAATATAGAACTGATAATTGATGATAAGTAATCATAAGCAAACCAAAGGGTACAAAACACACCCTTCTACTGCAACAAGACACCTGCTTTTTGGAATCAGGCGACGAAAAGAAGCCTTTTCGCTCAGTGATTCAGATCGTGCATTAAACTGCATTTTTCCACAATCACAAATTAAATTAAATTAAATTATGCAAATTTTCTAAAAACAAGAACAATTAATAATTAATAACAACAGTGTAATAATTGAATACAAAAAAACCACAATACATACATCTATACGTATACACATACATAAATACATACCATCTTGTAGAAATCCGGTTTCTCAGATTTCTTAGTGAAACTAGGAATTAATCCCCACTTCATACAGTGGATAGCATAACCGTCCCCACCACTGGCTGCGTCGTCTCTACGGACAACCGCCAAATTCGAACCCGGTGATGCGTTGAAAGACGGGCGGTACCTAAAATGAAACTCAAAATTATATCAAACAACAAACCAACACTTCAATAGACAGGGAGGGAGATTACCGGTCCATATTGACGGAGCGGACGGTGGCGGTGTTGCGGTGGCATGCCCTGGGGATGTCGTCGGCTCTGAGAGTGCAACGCACTCTACCACACATCTTATCTTTTCCTTTCTGCTGTGCTGCTCCCTCTTTCAGTTCCCGTCGTCGATTGCAACTGCTGACTTTCCTCTTCTAATGCCTCTGCCCACCTGATTTCGTTTGGGGGTAAAATACATTTACGGTCCCTTAAGTTTCAACACTTAGTCATGTTTGCCACTATATTTTAATCTTGATTATACAGGATCCTATACTTGTAATTGTTGGTCAGTGTGGTCCTTCCTTCTATTTTGTTGTGAGAGGGTGACTTATAAATGATGTCAATTGTAAATAATTTTGATTCGGCTATTTAAATGGATCGATCCAAAAATAAAATAATAAATAAAGAAACTTCCACTATCAAAATTTTGTATTTTCTTGAATAAAATAAGAATATTTGTGTCTTTGGAACTTAGTATTTTATATTCTTTTTTTTTGTAATTTTAATTTTCATTTTGGCACTTCTTATTTGATTTTAAATTTTTTTATTTCATCATAGATTAATGGGATGTAATAAAAATAATTTATTTCTTAAAATGAACACCACAAATAGGACAATTTTGGAAGGAGAGACAATGTGCAGCCAGTAATTGAAATTAAAAGGTATTGATGGACTAAATATAAAGAAAAGGGACTAGTATAATCAATCTCCTAACCTTGAGGTACCATGAAACTATTTACTGGAATATGAGCGGGAACAAATTCGTTTTTTATTTCTTCCTTTTTTGTTTTTTTTTGGCTCTTGTGCTGCGTGCAACGCTGGAGAGACCGAACGAAGCGGACCGTTCGATTTGCTTTCTCGAGATTGCGTTTGGATTCCGCTAATGTGTGAAATTGTTTATCGCTTGTTTTGAGATGTGCTTTTTAGTTGCTTTTTTAAAGTATTTGTATTTTTAAAAAATATTAAATTTATATTTTTTAATGAATCGGATATGTAAAATATTAAATTTATATTTTTTAATGAATTGGATATGTTTAAAATATTTTTTTTATTTTTAATATAAATATAATTAAAATATTTTTTTATTTTTAATATAAATAAAATTATTTTTATTTTGAAATATATTAAAATAATATTTTTACTATTTTTTAAAAATTATTTTTAATATTAATATATTAAAATAATCTAAAACTAAAAAAATATTTTTAATATTAATATATTAAATAATCTAAAACTAAAAAAAAAATTAAGTAATTTTATTTTAAAAAATTGCTTAATTTTGTTTGGAAGGCAATATCAAATGGGGAGGAAAAATTGACCCCGTGACAAGATGACTCGTGGACAAGTCGGGTCAGTATTCCCAACCGGTTCACTCGTTTTTCCTGCCCAAAACTAATCCTGGTTTAGGCACTCACTACAACTTCGCTCCAACGTCCCAACCCGAAATCCTCAGCCCTACCTTCCTCATGTCTTCCCTCGTAAAACGACTCCACAACCTATCCCCATGCCTGCAGTCCACCGCCCACCAGCTCCGCCAATTTAGAACCGGGGCCGGTCCAAACAGGCGGCGATCCAAGTCACCTCCCTTTGCAGCCAAGAAGACTGATGAGAAATCGGACTGGTGGATAGTCGACGGCGAGATGCACGAGATAGGAGAACACGTGCCCCCACGTGAGCGATTTGTTATCCCTAGAGACAACGTCCCCAACAAGCGGCGAAAGCAACTTCGTGAGCAGTTCATGCGCCGCACTCGCCTTGTTATCAAGGAATCAGTAAGTGCTCATTCCTCCATGCCTCTTCTGCTTGCTACAGGGCGGAGCTAGAAATTCTGGATTGAGGGGCCGAATAAGGAAAGAATTGATTTTTTGGATTAAGCTTGTAAAATTGAAGGGTACAATTAAAGAGTTTCAAACTCTTAGGACTAAAATGTGAAACTTACTAAATTTTGGGATGCCATGTACCATCCACCAACGTAGTTACATCTCTAAGTATTTCATGGATTTACCTGCAATCTGTTTAATAATTTTACTGGTCTTTTTCTCGCTTGGGTACAAAACAGCATGCTTGATGATCTTGTAGAAAACAAGGGAGCAATGGTGGCCTGTTTAGTATAAAAATGTTAATCCAAGCATGTGCCTGAATTTTTTATTGTGCCCTGTTTTTGTAATTGAAGGAGCATGAACCTTGGTGCAAAAGATACATGGAACTATATCAGGAGCTTAGAGAGAATTGGGAGCGGCTATACTGGGATGAGGGCTATTCCAAGAAAATTGCGCGAGATCATGCAAATTATGAATCTGCTGAGGATGATGACCAAGATTTTAACCCGTACAGGTTTGTCAATGCCAGTTTCTACCCTTGTTTGTTTTGATTTTTCCCATAATGGACTTTTTTGTGGGGATGGAGTGAGAAAGAAAAGGCTTCCCTTAGTTCATCTAGAAAGTCTTTCATTTAGCGGTGATGAATACAAATTGTTAAGGTTGTGGTGTTTATACTTTTAATACTCGATCTATGTTTCTCTGTTTTTCTGTCACTTGTTGATGGTTTATGTCAATCGTTTTCTTGTTTTATTGATGTGTAGTTAATGCTGATTTATTTATTATAAGTTCAAAATTTTCATTAGAGAAGGATAATCAGTCTTTTTTTGCTTGTTTGCAACAGGAGCAAGCGACCTGAACAGATGCAGGTACGGATCCTTTGATAACTTTGTTAAAGTTTTTGAACTGGTACTGGTCATGATAAAGTGATCTCTTTGATACTGATGACATGATATAGATTTGAGCTATTATCCCTGATTTTTACACTCCCTCTCCCCATGATTTTTTTTTAAAAGAAGGAAATAATGGACACCAAACATAATGTATCAGCTTTGCAAACATATGATTTTTATTGTTTTAGGTCAGCTTGTCTTTTGTCACAGGCTACATTGAATTGATTCAATTTGTTATTATAGAAATTTCTGAAAGTCTTATGTTTTAATTGTATCCATTCCAATAGCGGGAAACATGCACATGCATGGATGTTTCTCTTTTGCAATAGGATGAGCAGCATGCAGGAGGCCTAGCTTTTAGTAACATCTTTTTTTTCAGTCAAATGATGTTTTAGAGATTTCAAACAGTTTGATCTCCTTCCATTTTTACTGTAAATAAATATGTTGTTATAACATGTATAACTGGGTTGTGAATGCAGGACCAGGGTTTTGGGAGAAACAGGCAAGGTGATACATGGGAAAAGGTTAGCCAAATTCGAGATAAATTTGAATATGACAGAGAGAAAAGAATGAGGGAGAAAGGTACGTTCAATGCATATTATTTACTCAATGTGTGGTCACTTATATTTCACGGGATAAATTGGTCAAGGGGTCATTTTTGTAGGTATAAGTAGCTGATATGCTCAATAATAACTTCAAGTTGATTTCTTTTATCAGATTGTTTGTCTGTTAGGCAGTCCATGATTAAATCTTTGTGTTTAGCATGCTCATTATAAATTGCAGAGCTGGAGCTTGAGCATCCATTAGCTTGGTTTTGATTGACTAACAAACATATGTATGTAGATAAGCACCTGTGTATTTACATATACATATGTATACATATATGTTTTGTGTTTTCTTCTTCTGAAGAGCACGGAAGAATACAAATTTTGCTTCTCTTGTTCAAAGCATTCTAGATAGAAGTGGACATTTCAACATAAAGTTTCTTCTTATTTACTTGGTGATCTATTGTAGAATAGTGTTCATGCACAGTTGCAGCCAAGTCAGCATTTTGTTTTTTGGTGCTCACATCTGATGCTTTATGTCACCTGTTACTGAAATAAGCTCTTGAATGTGCGTGGCATTTGTCAAGGTGCTAAATGATTGTTTCTCTTTCATAGAGTCATGATTTTATTTACTAGTCAACATCGAATCTCATATTTATGAAAATGCATTATTGTGATCCTGAGTGCACAGGGTTTAATATAACCTGGAAAAAAAAACCTTCAATCTGCTCACATTATATGAAGCAAATGCTTTTGTCAAGCTGATAGTAAGAGGACAGGTTGCACGAAACATATTGTTTCAAGTACAAAAGAAACCAAAATCTTGTATAGCTGGGTTGGGTATGAATTTTCCTGTTCAACCATGCAAATGGTAGTCTTTTTGATGGAGCATTTGATCATATAGCTTTCTCCAGTAATGTTTCAGTTTTGGTTATTGAAAACTTAGCTGATTGAGAACCAGATAACATGTTTGAATATCATATAACTGCAGTTCTCATTTATTCTATGTATTTTATTTGCAGCATTTGCGCCGATGAATAGAGGAACTTCTTTTGACTTGCCTCATTCAAACACCCAGAATCGGCCATTTGACACTCAAAGATACTTCCCTGATGAAGGGGACTCTTAAAAAGGATTGCAAACGATCATGTAAAAAAGAAGACGCCAATGCAGCTCTACTGTCAAGTTCCCTAAAGTTAAAACCATTGGGGGCTCATAGTGGAGATCTGTAAGAAGAGTGTTTAATGGTATTTGGTCCTGAAATCCATGCCATACATCGATTGACCATTGTCTACCACACCAGGAAGCAAGGGGTCTCTGATAACACAAGGATTGCGCATCATTTTTTAACCAAGTTATTAGTTTTGTGAATAATCTAACTTATGATGTCCCCTTTCATGAACGAAATTGCCTGTAAGCTTAGTTTATCTGGATCATTAATTGTAAGCAAGTTATACTTTGAAGCATAAAGCTTAGAATTTTTTCTACAATACATTTTCCCCTGAAGTTGATCCCGGAAAACTCTATGCTGGTCCTTTGTTCATCGCTGCACCCTTCAGTTTGCAAGAGACTCTAGAGATCTTGAACTTTAAATTTGATTAATGTATCAGACTGAGTAAATGCACGCTGGTTTCTTCATACCTTAACCTGGAAAAGTGGTTAGTTGAGAGTAATTTTCGAAATCGTTGGCTATAATATATAGATGAATGAAGTTCTGGGAAGGATTGCATCTACAGCTCAAGAGTTGGTTCGTTATCATTTTGGCAATGGGAGTGTTTTCCTTTTCGTTTGTCACTTGTTCTTGTATTTTCCCATTTGAAATTCTAGAATCAAGATAATTTTTACCAAATATGAGACCGTCAATTTGAATACTTTTCTTTCAAACAGATGGCATTGCATGCAGTCCATTTCTCTGTTATATTGGCCAAACATACTACGAGCTGCAGCATGTTTTTTCGTTTCCTTCTATGCTATGCCTGTTATCTATCCCTTTGACTCCACAGATGGAGGGACCTCAAGTGCCTCATCACATTCAAAAGAAAAATGAAAAAAGAGCATAGACAGAAGAAGGAATAGCACTCGCTATATATATATATATATTTTAGTATTATATGACTGAGAAAGCAAAAGAATATGTGCATAGCATCCGACTCCAGTCATTTACATTTTACCAATTGAAAACTCGGGCGAGACAGAAAGGTCATCTACACCTTGTGGATTTCAAGCTATTAATTAGAATTGCTATAAGCATTGTTAACAGCCGCAGCAGCAGCCCTGCCAAACCTTGATAACTGAGGTTTTTCGTTGGAGAACTTGCGATACAGGATCATCTTCATGAAGTCAAGATTTTCGCTACTTTCCTTCTCACTGTTATACTCCTCTGACATTTGAGCAGTAGTACTTCTAGTAGTTCGGTGAAGATGGCACCTGAATGAACCAGCATGGCTAGTTGGTGCACAAACGCAGGTCTTTTTGGAGGCCACAGTTAGCTTGTTTTCAGTCACTTTCATGTTTGCATTAGCCAATCCCTCAACCTGAGTAAGCCAACCCTTCCATTTACTCGTCCTGTTAATGAAAACCAAATCATCATTGGAATAAAAGGCACACTTTAGGCGAAGAACATAAGGTGGACTTAGTGGGTAAATTTTGACATTGTAATATATATATATATATTGCTGTTGTGGTTTGAAATGAGGTAAGTTTTAAATTGGATTTTTTCTCAAAATTTAATATGGAAAAACAAGATCAAGCAATTAAAACCAAATAACTTTTGAAAATATAATCAATTGAAAAGTATTTTTCACCACATTTTAGTACCAACCAAACAGAGCTTTGTGTGCGGTTTACTTGAAAAAAAAATTAAATTGATATTTTTTTAATAATTTTGATATGTTAATATTAAAAAAAAATTAAAAAAAACTTATTATAATATATTGTAAAGTTAAACGACACTTTTAAAACGCGTTTTACACCACAATACTAACCACTAAAAATTATCCAAAAAAAAAAAAGGACAAGAAAACACACGTTGATAAAAGAAACCAAAAAAGAATCTGAGTAGCTATTGCGCGGTTACTTTCAGCAACCAAACCATAACCTATGTTCTCAAGGAAAACTTATTGGTATTGTTATTGTTTTTCAAAAAAAAAAAAACCCAAAATCCATCCGCACCCATTAATCATTATTGATCTTGGTAAACCCCACAGTGGCTAAATAACATCTTCAACTCAAAATCATGGTACCCAGGAAAGAAGAGGCGAGTAGTGTGAAAGATTATGCCATGCGGGCAGGAGGAGGAGGAGGAGGAGGCATCGGCGGCATGGTGCCTTGCTAATAACATGCTTGAACATATACCCTATTGATTCCTCAATTTAATTTTGATAAACAGGTAAAAACCCAAAACAATCAACAACAAGAAAGAAGGAATATAATTTCTCTTCTCAAGAGTTATATCAAACCAAGAAGTGATTAAAGAATCAATGTAGAGCAAGAACACGTACCAAAAAGTCATTGCCGGAGCTGGGCCAGAATCTTTCGAACTGGGAAAACCAGCGTCGGCATCAGCAGCTACGATCGTTGTCATTGCACAAAGACCAGTGATGATCAAGGAACAATACCCAAGAAAAGATCAAGAAACCAGAATTAACCTTGGAAGAAGAAGAAGGAAGAGGGAATGTGTATAATATAAGCGTAAGAATCGCTCAAAAAGAAAGAAATAACCAGAGATTTGTAGTGCTACTAAGCGAAGTAAAACATGCAGACACAGAATTTTCCTTGTCAACACAATATACAAGGAACTGACGTGGAGAGGCGGTTTGATTTTATTTCCTTATTGTACAAGGAAGATTTTTCTTTTCGTTTTGAATTAGTAGATTAAATTAAAAAAAATAAAACATGTACAATCCATCCAATTGTATATAAGGTTGTAATAGGAAAATTGCTTAAAACTGCAAAAAGTGTTTTAAGAAATAAAAGGATCAAAATTACTCAAACATTAAAATATTAATAAATAAAAATGTTAATTTATTTAAAAAAAATTACATAATTAAACAGCTCAAGGATATTTCCTTAGTACCAAAGAAAAAAAAAGAAGAAACACACGCTCGAGTTTAGAGGTCCGATCGATCCCCTCGATGAACCCATGACCATACACATCTAATCAAGTGAAAGAGTATCGTCAGGCAGTCACCTCGCTCAGATTCCTCTGGTTTTGCTTTTGAATCTTGAACACCATACAAGCTCTATGCTCGCGTTCATGGCATTGATTAAGGGATTCGAGACTTTTCAGAATATGATTACTTGACAAGTACGTTCAAAGAGGAAATAAATGATGATGTCAAGGAAGGGAAGAAGACTGGTCATGATGAACTCCTGCACGCCTCAACCAAAAGACAGAGCATTTACTGGGTTTTTTTTGCCTTCAATTACTATTCTTTCTCCCGTGGGGGGCTGTTCTTTTTTTATCGTGGCTATTGGCTTTCGCTTCGAAAAATGATATTAAAAACCGGTAATAATAAATCTAAAATTATATTAATTAAGGTTAAGAGAATACTGCTGAATCTTGAACAATGCACGTTATCCATTCATCATGGAAGGAGATACTAAAGAATAAACTAACAAGCTAAAAATCTATTTTTGACCATTAAAAATCATTTTATGTGTCATTCAAAGCTCGTGATGGCCCCAACATGTCTAGATTTTTTAAAATTTAGAAATATTATTTTAATATTAAATTATGTTATTATTATCAATCAACCTTATAATTAACAAAAAAAAAAAACCATAGTACCTTAGACCCCAATCACTTACTTTTCTTGGATTTATGAGCGAATATGTAATTTGATTATTTATATAAAAATAAAATAAGTGAGATATCCTTGCCTCTGCTATGTTGGTTCTTTTATCCTTAAGGATATTTTTTTTTATTTTATTATAATTAAAAATATTAAATATCAAAAATTACTTCCGACCAAATATAAAATAATTAATACCATTAGCTAGAGGGTAAGAGTTTTTTATTTATTTTTAAAGGTTTTAGAAATCACTTGACTATTATAGTATATAATTGATTGTTCATATGGCTATAAAAAAATTCTTTTATGTTTGAATTTTTTTTATCAGTTTCATTATTATTATTATTATCATCATCATTATCATCATCATCATCATATCATTATTATTATAACTACTACATTTTCTTCTTAATAAAGAAAAATCTTATTATTCGACTATATTTGTATTTTTTTTCTTGTCTTGATATTAACACACAATACTTGGATTATATTTTGATTATGCCAACTATTTTTTTCATGACCAATCCTAATATATTCCTATTACATATCTGCTATATTCTTATTATACTTAATTACCTGTTATATTTGATTAATAGACTACATGTATTAGACTTATATAATAAATTTATTTTATATAATATTCTTATATATTAAAAATTTTAATTTATTATTGGAAAAATCATATTACAAATTCTTGATTAGCAAAGTCGATATCGTAATTTTAAAAAGTTTTTTGTTCTTAATCTTTGCGAATTCTATCCTTCCTTGTTTGATGATTTCTTAAATGTTGTAAATATGCTTATATCAAAACATATGATAAATCATTATTATAGTCATAAGACAAACACTTGTTTATCTATGAAACCTATCTTTTATATTTATATTAAACATGCTGTGGTTGTTATTATATTATATGCGATAAAGTTGCTATCAAAACCATTCAAATTTGTTTTACTTCTTTTAAGAATTATCTTTTTTTACCAAGCCTTTTTTCCTTACCTTTTCTAATTTTAAGTTCAAGTCTCGAGTTGAATCTCAACCATCATTTTGAGATGGTATATTATATATAGTATTATTATAGGCTTGTATATATTTATAAAATGTTTATTATATTTACATTATAATATCTACATTAACTCCTGTGTATTGTTTTATATATATAAATAAAAAAATAATGATGAACTAACAAAATAGACCTCTTATTATACTTAGGTAGGCTACATGCTAGACCACTTTACTTGAACAAAGAGTTGGAAAAAGAAATCATAAAAAAAAAATTATTTTAAAAGATTTTGCATTATGATTTCAATAGCACTTGACTATAGGCTTTGGTTTCATGTTCTGATGTTAGATAAAACAACACCTTAAAACCATACTACTTTTTAAAACCAATTTGAAAATCAATGGGAAAAAAAATTAGGAAGAGATAAACCCAAATTGTTGCCTTAAAAAAATTCCTTTATAAAATATCAAAACAACACAATTTTAATTAAAAATTATTAAAACAAAGTTAATAAATTATTGATTTAACAAGGTTGTCGTACTTGATATTGTGGCGCCCTTAAAAAATTTCATAGAAAAGAACGGTCACTAGAAATCCTAACTGGTCAATAAAGATTTTATGGTTTGAAATTAATTACATAAAAGAAAAAATATTATCACCCCCTAAATGTTCTGCCTGAGACAGACTGCATTACTGATTTTTTCTTAAATCGTTAAACATTTATTAGTTTATGTTATGATGATTTGCTTATAATATTATCAACTCTAACGCCAATAAATATTCAACTACATATACTTCCAACTTTTACGTTGGTAAATATCACATAGCTATAAAATAAATTTAGATCAATATTTTTATTTCTAACTTTAACTCACTGAATAAACAAATAAATTAAATTTATTTTTACGCATGTACATATTTTTTATTATTTTTTTAGCTAAATGAAATAAAATATAATAAAAATAAATTTAAATCAGTATTTTTATTTCTAACTCTAACATCAGTGAATAAAGAAATAAAATAAATTTATATTATTTTTATTCATGTATACACATATTTTTTTATTTTTTTATTTTTTTCAGCTAGGCTTGACCCAGCCAGCCCGACCCTGACACTAGTCCAAGCCAGTGACCCGGTTGGGCAAAGCACGCGTGAACTTGTTCACGGGTGCATGGTGTCATAACCCAATTTTGGGTTATTTTCTAAAAATCACTGTTTTTTTCTAAATAAAAAAAATAAAACAAAGGCTGGCAATGTGGAGAAAGCAGTATAAGAAAGACTACAAAAATAGAAAAAAATCAAGCTGCAATTTTGGATGAAATTCAAGACCCGAGAATGGAAAAGAAAATACAAATTGAAGGTCAAATTAAATTATTATTGGATGAATTTGTATAAAAATTAAGTCTAAGGGCATAATTAAATTTTTATTAGGTCAGTTTGATTTAATTATGGGCCAAATTAAATTTTAATTATGTTTAAGAATGGGTCTAATTGAAGGATTTAATTAAGTGCAAGGACTTAATTACACTTTAAATGGGTCAAATTAATTTTATTTGGGACTTAATTGGTAAAAAATTAAGTTTGGGAGCCTACTTTGAGCTTAATTAAGAAGATTGAAATTTTAAGAGATCAAATTTAATTTTCATTAAGTTAATTGATTGAAATCAGGGGCTAAATTACAAGAAAATTGAAGTTTTTGGGTCACTTAGGGGTTAAATTGAAGAAATTCACAGCCAAGGGCTAATTTGCAAAAGGCATCGGACTATAGGGGCCTAATTGATAAAAATCAAGGGTTAAATCGAAGAAATTGAAAGTTTAATGGTCAATTAGGGGTTAAATTGTATAAATCCGAGACCAAGAACTAATGTGCAAAAGGCGCGTAAATCCAGGGTTCCAATTGAAGTTCGGCAAGGGTGTAATTGCATTAAATGAAAAGTTTAAGTCAATTAGAGGTACAATTGCACAAAATTGAAAGACAAAGGACTTCTTTGAATTTCAGAAAAATCCCTAATTTAAACCTAAAATGACGTTGTTTTAGGTTTTTTAAAAAAAGGACCAGACAATATATCATCTAGTCACTATCATTATCTTCTTCATTTTTTTCTAAAAACTGGTTCAATCACCTCCTTTGCAGGTGCATTTAATTTATTTAATGTCCATCAAATTTGCTAAACCTTGCACAAAATTGATCACCAGTCATCCCTCTGTGTCCAGGTATGGTTGTCACTGGCTCCCTAGCATATAAATGGACGTGGTATCACTCCAAAGAGACCACTTCAGGCAGCTTGCAGCACTGGAATGACAGTGCACCATGTTTACTTTGAGCCAACGGTTTGGCTCCTTCTCAAGAGAATCAAGGGCTGACAATTATTCTCCTGTAAAGATAAGATTAACCTCTTCCACCCCTATAAACAGGAGTAGATTTCACATTGAAAGGGGAGGAAAAAAGATCAAACCTGAAGTTGGCCGAAAACCAGCCTTCCCTGCCAAATTTTCCTGCAACTGCCTCTTTTTTTTCTTTCTCTCTTCACCAGGGCTTTCAGCCACCACCACCATCATTTCTTGTCTTCTGGCCGTCACCTCTACCTCAAGTGGCCTTCAAAACATCTCATATAGTGTTTGCAACATTTCTCTCTCTCTCTCTCTCTCTCTCTCTCTCTCTCTCTCTCCTTTGTAAAAATCTTCTTCTCTGCCACCATGACCCTGACGGGTGTGGCAGCAGCAGAAGCAGCGACCACCACCCTGCCGTGAAGCTCCCTTTCTTTCCAAAAGCAGCTAGTAGCAACTTTCTCCTCCACCACTCCAACAACTCCAACCACGAATTTCCCTTCTCCTTCACAGGCCTCTATTTCTTTTTTTTCTTCCAGCGACGATTGAAGCCAACCACCGTTCTCTTCACCGCCAGTTCGTCAGCTAGCTCCCCAACTCCGGGTAAGCCTCCCTCCACTCTTCTTCATTTTTTTCCTTCTTTGTACATGAGAACAGTGCAACGTGAATTATAATTCACGTTGCAC